AGTTTGTTTTTCTGGAACATTCTCTTGATTGTGGATGGTGGATTTTGTAATATTGTTTTGATCCGAAATTTCTTCTTGAATAAGATCTAGAGCAAAAATTTGTCCCTAATCCTGACCATTGTCACTTGCAACAAAAGAAATATATATATATTCTTCCTCCAAGACAAATATCTTTAACCATATAATCTTATCTTCCCTCGCAAACTCTACATTCTCAAGGAATAAAACATTTCTCATTTCGAAAATTAGCCTAATAGTGGAATCTTTTAAAAATTTTGTAACCCCTTAACAATTGTTTTATTTGAACTTAGTTGAAAATTTAAACTGCATTTTTTAGTGCTTCTATATAGAGAAATTCTGATGTACTGTAGGACGATTCCACATTACTCTAGAAATTTGGTAAAAGGCCATGGACATTATTCTCCCGATTCTTCATATCTATCATAGTATTCACCACTATTGTAAGATCTGACTTGCTAAATTCTTTTAACAAGTCTTGAACATGTCCAATGTTTGAGCTTTCTCATAAATGGGATATAGGTAGCTATAGTGAGAAAAAATCGTATATAAATATAACAAATTGCCATTGACCATTCCAAGAAGGTAAATGGAATAGCCTACACATATCAATATGTATTAGTTCTTAGACATCTGAAGTTCTATTGGCACATAATCTCCTTATATTTATTGGTTTCCCCTTAATGTAATTTACATAAATACTTAAGTCTAAAAATTAAGGGAAACAAAAATTCCTTATGACACTAGATTTTTCGTTCTCTTTTGAAAGATGTGACATAATTGCTTGTGTCATAACGAAGCGAAATTCTCATGGTTAATTTATGTTTAATACCACCTAAATTCACATGCAATGTTTCTTTATAAGAGGCAACCGTGTTAAGCAAATATAGTTTATCATAATTGGATAAAGATTTGGTACCCACAATATTTGAATTAAGAAAAAGATCAAATTAACTAGTTCTAATTGAATAAGAGTAAACAATTTGTCCAATCTAGAAATAGATACCAAATTTCGTTTAAAAGATGATACCACAAATGTCTCTTTTAGATTAAAATAATAATAACCAATTTTTAATAATAACTTAAAGTCCCTATAGCTTCAACTTTGACTGATATGTCATCGCCTCACATAGATGAATCATTCAATATCAATTGACTTTTGGTTGTTCATACAACCCTGCATAGACACACTTATTGAGTAGTGGTACCAAAATTTATCCACCAAGCATGTCTAGGTATTGACACTAAATTAACNAAGCATGTCTAGGTATTGACACTAAATTAACCTTAAAATAATCCAAAGTAAGAAGTTTATTTTCTTTACAAGTCAAGCATGGTATTTAGTACAGTCTTTCTTTATGTATCCCAAATTTTCACAAAAGTAACAGCCAGATTTATCATTTTCAAGCTTTCGCCATTTATTTTAAACCGAACCGGATGCATTTTTCTAACTTGTCCTTAGAGGTACTTGCCAAGTGAATAATATCAGTTTTATATTACTTTAGCCTTCATTTTTCTTACACACAATATGGAATGAGTTCATTAAGAGTCCACTTTCCCTTTTAGCAATTGTAACTGACCTTAAATTAACCAAATTGTGCAAGAATAGAAATCAAAACTAAATGTACAAACAAGTCATCAAACAGCTCAATCGTTAATGTTTTTAGTTTTGAAGCAAGATGAGACATTTTCATGATGTTCTCCCTTATGTTTTCTTTACCTTATACTTTAGTGAAACTAAGTTCGCTAAAACATGCTAGTTTCGGCCTTATTGCCTTTTGCAAAGCATTTTTTTCAATTTCATCAAGAAACTCCTTGGTAGTAGTTACATTTGCGCCCCTAAATGTTACTAGAATTTCACACTTCATGATCATAAGACTCGTGCGGTTTAAGCAATCCCACTTATTCGAGTCCCATTTTTTAATTAGTGAAACTCTTATCCGTAAGAATAGTGGATTGTTCAGTTCTTGACGCAAGGTCTAACTCTATGTTGCCAAGAACGATACAGGCGCTCTTTTTGCAGCCCTTAGACTTTAGTTCAAGCACATGTATTAAATTGATGCTGGCAGATATTGCAGAAGTTGATAAATTAACCGAATATAGAACTTAATCCCAAATAACATGTCCACGTAGGAATCCGTATTGGACAATCAATAATTTCAAATAATGGTGAACCCCATCACAAGAGACCGAGCACAATATTGATATTTAGTCTTTGGACAAAAAAATGAATTTGTAAGCGGCATTCTTGGTGTAGTAATTAAATATTGACAATAAATTCAGTCAAACATCAAGTCTATCTTTGGACCGACTCAACATTCATATAATGAAAAACTTTATAATTGTCACATATTTATTACCACATGTGTATATTAACCTTCATTTTGGCCGGTCAATATTCATATGATTTACGTACACACAACATTCCTAATATTCCATATAAATTAATTTAGGCAAGAGATGTTACTTTGGTAACTTGTTATTTCAATTAATCTATTTTAGAAAATTAGTAATCTGAAATAAATTTTAGTTCCAGGATTTGAAATTTGATTGCTCCCTCTATATTTTAATTTTTTTACAAATGGGTTTCAAAAAAAAAAAAAAAGGCTTTGTATCAAAAATCAAGTCCACAATGGCTTTAAAGGGAATTAAAAATCAAGCCATTGTCACGTGGCTACCATGATTGAAAATTGGAAATAACCTCTTTCACTCTGTTGAATTTTGAATTAATAGAAAGAAAAATGGAAGCTAGAAGAAGATTAAATGCTTATTTCATTAATAAGCTTGATTGAAGAAACTTCACATCAGACACAAGCTATATTTATACAGGAAATAACCAACAAAAGAAGTAGACTAACTGAATAACAAAATAACAGAAAATAACTAACTGGAACAACTAACTTTAACTACAATAACTAACTCTTCTTCTTTGCCGGTTTTTCTTCTTTTCTTTCTAATTTTCATGCTGTTAATTTGTGACGCAATGCTCCAACACCCCCTTCAAGATGAACATGGAAGGTAATGAGGTTCATCTTGCGAAGAGTGTGATGAAAAGGAAAAGAACCAAGGGGCTTAGTAAAAATATCAGCAAGCTGGAGCCTAGATGGAATGTGGAAGATTTTAATAACATTTTGTTTCAATTTTTCCCGAACAAGATGACAATCAATTTGAATGTGCTTTGTCCTCTCATGTTGAACTGAATTCGTGGCAATGGATAATGCAGGTTTACTATCAGTATAGAGGAAGTTGGTTGTGGATGATCAATGTTGAGGTCTTGTACAGCATAAAGAAGCCATTGAATTTCACAGGTAGTGGTTGCAAAAGCTCTATACTCTGCCTCTGCTGAAGAGTGACTGATTTTTACTTGCTTCTTCGACTTCCATGAGATCAAAGAATTGCCAAGAAAGATTGCAAACCCAGTGACACTTCTTCGAGTGTCTACACAGCCTGTCCAATCACTATCTAAAAAAGCCTTTTAAGTGTAAATCTGAAGATGCTGGAAAGAAAAGACCCTGCCCTGGTGTAGCTTTTAGATAATGCAGTTTTCTAATTGCTGCTTGAAAATGAATCACAGCAGGGGTAGTAAGAAATTGGCTAAGTACTTGGACAGAATAGGCTAAGTCGGCCTTATGATAGTCAAGTACAACAATCTACCAAGAAGTCTATGATAGCCTGATGGATCCTCATACAAAGGAGTGTTAGAAATAGAGAGCTTCAGATTAGATTTCATGGGAAAAGCAGTAGGTTTAGAACCATTTAAACCAGTGTCTTCAAAGATGTCAAGGGCATATTTCCTTTGATACAAGGAGATACCAGTCTTAGACCTAGCCACCTCCAAACTAAGGAAATATTTAAGCTGGCCAAGATCTTTAATAGTGGATTTATCATGTAAAAATGACTTTAATTGTTGAATCTCCAAAATGTTATCACTGGCCAAAAGTACATCATCCATATAGACTAATAATGCGATAAAAGAATGTTTAGATCTTTTCATGAAAAGAGAATAATCAGAACGGCCTTGGACAAAACCATAGTGGAGGAGAGCATTGGATAACTTGGCAAACCGTTGTCTGGAAGCTTGCTTTAGACCATAGAGGCTCTTTAAAAGTCTTCAAACATTGTGACCACATGTTACAACCATTCCAGGAGGCAATTCCATATAAACCTCCTCTTCATGTAAATATCCATGTAAGAAGGCATTATTGACGTCTAGTAGATGGAGATGCCAGTTTTTTATAGCAGCTACAGCAAGAATAAGTCGAATGGAAGTGATCTTTGCTACAGGAGAAAATGTGTCCAAGAAGTCCAAACCTTCCTGTTGAGTGTACCATTTTGCCACCAAACGTGTTTTATATCTTTCTATGGTTCCATCAGCCTTATACTTTATTCGAAACACCCACTTACAACCAATGGCTTCCTTGTTTGCAGGAAGGGTAACAAGCCCCCATGTTTTTTTTAACTCAAAAGCATTAATCTCATTTTGCATAACAGCTTGCCATTCGGGGATTTTAGAGGCTTGTTTAAAAGTTTTTGGTTCCAAGGAAGTTGAGTTAGAAGTTAAAAAAGCTTTATGTGATGGGGATAATCTATTGGCTGAAATGAAATGTTGGATGGGATAGAGAGGGCCTGTATATGGGGAGCAATCAGAAGAAGGATAGATAGTACATGCCGGTGAAGAGCAACCAGATGAAGGAGATTCCTAAGCTAGCAATTGAGATGAAGAGACAGTACCACAGTAATAATCATGCAAATGAACTGGTGTTTGTCGAAGCCTATTTGATTTTCTGAATGGTGGAGGATCTGCTGAAGGAGGTATGACCCGATCAATTCGTGTGGATGAATCACAAGAAGAATGGTTATTTGTTGATGATGGAGATGGAATAGATTGAGCTAAAGGAGACGAGTTTTCACTTGAAGATGAAGATTGAGCAAAGGCAAGGAAGATCTGGAACAACAATGATCTGGGAAGATTTCTGAAAGAAGGAACAAGAAGGAATGGTGTGTAGAATTTGAAGGAATGATCTTGAAAGGAAAAACTGTTTCATGAAATATAACATTTCTGGAAACAAATATTTTGTGATGTTTATATCCATGAGTTTGTATCCTTTGAAGTCGAAAGGATAACCTAAAAATAAGCATTTGGTTGCTCTTGAGTCAAACTTTTGTCCATGATGTGTCAAAGTGGATGCAAAGCAAAGGCAGCCAAAAACTTTTAGGTGTGAAAGGTTGCGGGCTTTATCAAAAAGCATTTCAAATGGAGACTTGTTTTGGAGAAGGGTTGTAGGAATTCTGTTGATAATGTGGGCAACTGTGAGTACACAATCACTCCAAAAACTGAGGGACATATTTTCTTGAAACGTCAATGCTCTAGCGGTGCTTAAGAGATGTTGGTGTTTTCTTTCCACAACCCCATTTTGCTGCGGAATTTCTACACCGCTTTTTTGATGCAAGATACCATGTTTGTTGTAAAATTTTGTGAGAAAGAATTCAAATCCATTGTCAAATCATATGATTTTGATAGATGTAGAAAATTGGTTTCCATCATTCTGCAAAAGGTTTTAAGTAAAGATGGTACTTCTGATTTTGTTTTCATCACATATACACATGTACATATTGTAAAGTCATCCATTATAGTTAGAAAATATTTAAAACCAGAATAGGAAATAGTGTTAAAGGGTCCCCAAATATCACAATGAATCAATTCAAATTTTTTATTGGACTTATGATACAGAGAAATGAAGCTTTCTTTGTTTCGCTAGAGGACATATATCACAAACGTTTGTACAATTAAGAATAATGGAAGGTTCAATTTGCTTGAGAGAGGGTAATCTAGAGTTAGAAACATGGCCTAGCCTATAGTGCCATATGTCAAACTTTTTGTGGGTGATGGCTGATGCTGATGGTCTAGAGGAAAACTGATTGCTAGTCTGATTTTTTGATAAAGCATGGATTAAGTGGTACAGTCATTCCTTCTCAAAGGCAATCCCAATTATCTTCTTCATATGTCAAACTTTTTGTGGGTGATGGCTGATGCTGATGGTGTAGAGGAAAACTGATTGCTGGTCTGATTTTTTGATAAAGCATGGATTAAGTGGTACAGTCATCCCTTCTCAAAGGCAATCCCAATTATCTTCTTCATTGATTGGTCCTGTATAGTCCAATGAGAAGTGGTAAATGTAAGGCAAAGATTAGATTGGTTGGTGAGTTTTGATACAAATAACAGATTGAATGAAAAAGTGGGAAAACATAGGACATTATGCAAAAATAGAGAATTAAAGAGGATTGTGTTTTACCAGAGAAATGAGATGTAGAGGAAAGGTTGACAGCTGGTCGAGTATTATTCTAGGTAGAAGAATTAGTTGATGTAGAATTAGCAAGTTCCATGAGCTTATGAAATTCCTCTGGAATGAAGGAGGGCATTTGTTGCTCATTATTATCATTTTGATTGGTAGCCTCCTAATATGTAAGTACAGCATGTGCAGAAGTTTTTCGAGAAGTACTTCTTTTCCTTTTGGTCCTGTCCAGTTAGGAAGGTATCCATGAAGTTGAAAGAACTTGTCCACCCTATGTCCAGTATAACCACAGTGGGTGCAATGCGAAGAGGGTGCCTTGAATCTATCCCTGAACGATTTTGGCTGGCGAGTCTGTTGATTGATGCATTTGGCCATCAAAACATGTGTCTCAGTATATGAAGCAGAGTTTGTTAGTTGTCTTGGGCTTTCTTCTTGAAGCAGTAAAGAGAATACTTTGGCCATGATAGGTAGTGGAACCATAAGATGTAATTGGCTTCTGATAGATGCAAAGGAATCATTTAACCCAACCAAAAATTTTAGAACATTATCAGACTGTTGTCAAGTTTGCATAAAGGTGAACAAATCACAGGTAAATGATGCCATTTTTCCACTTGTGCAGGTTGGAAATGGTCGGTCACTAATGTATTCATCCCAAAGAGTTTTAAAAGAGCTAAAATATTCAGTAATAGACAAGGAACCTTGGCTTATACAGCTTAGAGATTTTTCAAGATGAAAGACTCTTGGTGCATCACTTCTGAGGTATCTGGTCTTAAGCTCATTCTAGAGGTCAGCAGCTAATGTTACAAACAATAAGTTGTTACGTATATCTTTAGAAATTGAATTCATCAACCAATAAAGGCCTAGGTTGTTTGCACATAGCCACGCTGTATGGTTGATAAGTTGGTTAGTAGAGGAAGGAGTAATTGAGCCATCAATGAACTTTACCTTGTTCTTGACTGTCAAAGCTATGATGATCAATCGACTCCATGCGACATAGTTCTCTCCATTAAAGATTTCTGACACTAATAGAGCACTAGGGTTGTCACTAGGATGGAGATAATAAGGACTTGAGGAATCGTCTGAGGGATTGATAGAGGGATTACTTGAATTGACTAGGGGATTTATGGACGAATTATCAGAACTCATATTAGGAAATTAATGCAGAAGATTCCATAGCAGAATTTTTGTAATGGAAGATTAATTCTTGCAGAACACAAGTATGTGATGTTGCGAAAGCTTTCAACCTGATGAAATAAGCTTTGATATGTTGAATCTTGAATTAATAGAAAGAAAAATGGAAGCTAGAAGAAGATGAAATGCTTATTTCATTAATGATCTTGATTGAACAAACTTTACATTAGACACGAGCTATATTTATACGGGAAATGACCCACAGATGAAGTAGACTAACAGAATAACAGAAAATAACTAACTTCAGCAAATAACTTTAACTACAATAATTAACTCTTCTTCTTTGCTGGTTTTTCTTCTTTTCTTTTTAATTCCATGCTGTCAATTTGTGACACAATACTCCATCACGCACCTTGTTTAGGGCCATTCTAAGATTCTTCAAGAGTTACACATTCAATTTTTCTTTGCTGGACAATATTTCACATATAAACGTGTGATTTCTATCTAAAAAATATGAAGGGAATTCATGCACTTTTCAGCATTACAAACAGATGCATTTCACGAAAAAAAAAAAAAAAGCTAACATGCTATTTGTTTACTATAGAGATGCATAGATTAACATAGTCCAGAGTCATCTGGAAGTTCCACAGACGAAGCGGTTAAAAACATAATTATTTTTTGACTTCTTGGAACTAGAAAACAAAATAATACCACAATCTCTGTTGTGAATGAAACCAACTTTACAACAGATTCGCCTATTAAATAAGTATCACGTCCACGATTAAATGATCTTCTGATTATTTAACATAAAACTTATTTTATTGCAGTTGATAACCTGGTACTATGAAACTTTCAAAGAGAAATGGAAATATTAGTTCAACATCTCTTTTCTTCTGTGTTGGAGTATTAATATGAAAACAGAAATAAGAGATTTGTAAGAAAAGTGAATGAGAAAGTTAAATACGCACACAGTTAATTCCAGTGGAGAAAAATAATCTCAGAAGATGAATAAAAACAACACATTTAAATAGAGTGAACGGATTTAACATAGAAACAAAACTTTGAAAAGCCATATATATTTAAAGAGCAACCAAGCTGTGTTGTTCTACCCTCTACTAACATTCCTTCTTCTTTTGTCGAATGAATTATTAACTCTGCATTAAGGGACACTTTATAGTGTTAAAGTACTACTATTAAGCATATTACATTACGTTCAAGCAGTGTATGGAGGGGGCAACGGCAAACCAGGGACAATACCGCACAACGGTGTGTTGTCAGGAAGGTTGTACTCATCCCTCAGGGAACGGGCAGGGGAGAGAACGCTGAAGTAGAGTTGCTGTCCCAAGTATACTCTCTCCCACATTTCCGACCTCAAGCTCCACATTCCAGCATTGTCCAGTGTTGTCATGACTGCTGCCCATGAGTTGGGGTATACTTGAATGTTGTGCCTACTCACTGCATCGAGGAGGTTGTAGTTCTTTCTCTTCTCAGGGCTCCACCTTCCTGGCTCTATGGCCACGGCGAAGAAGGAGTAACCATCAAGGTGATAAGTCTGGATAGTCCTCTCATGGTTCTCAAAGATGATCTCCACGAAATTCCTGAAGGTGGCATTGAGCACGTTGGGGGCCAAAATCAACTTGGTGTTGTCTTGTGGGGGCTCATCCTTGATGATATCATACTTGAATACCTTGTCGGAAGCTCCAAAGTACTCTGCCAACTTGAGTGGAGTCTCAGAGTCCACATGGGAGACGCCGTTGAGGCCAAAGCGAAGCTTACCGTCGACATATGATCGAGAGTTTGCGAGCTTGATGGTGCGGGTGATGTTGATCTGGCCATAGTGGTAAGAGCCCTGAGGATTGGGACGAGCAGCACTGGCTGTCAGGTTCCACCTGAATGAGCGGAACTGGTTAATAGACCAAGCAATGCCTTCTGTATTGTCAGGGGGTGAAAGTGGGAGCTCAGGAGATGCTGGACCATTTCCGTTGAGATAGCGAATGATGGCCACAGAGCTGAGTGGATGCTGAGCAAACCTACTGGAAACCACAAAGTAGTAGTCCTTGGGTACTTGGTTGGCAGTAACCAAGACTGAGAGACATTGTCCAACATGGAGATCCAAGGAGTCGTAGACGTTTTGCACGGTGTGAGAACCCTCCATCTCGACGAGCTTCAAGGTGTGTCCTTGGAGTCTGAAGTTGACAGAGGTCCTCATTCCAACATTGCAGACTCTGCATCTATAAGTCTTGCCAGATTCCACGGTATAAAGGGGCTCAGAAGCCTTATCACTGACCTTTCCAGACTTACCATTGATATGGATTCCGTCAGGCCTGCCAATGGAGCGGCCACTATCCAATTGCTTCTTCAAGCTCTTGTGGCCCTTGTTGTACCAATCGCCCAAGAGGAGAAAGTACTCATCTGCAGGGTTGTCAAATGGAACCGGGATGAGATCTCGACTGTGGACTTGAAGGCCACCGATGGCACCAGATGCCTTGTGCAATCCTGTGGTGGGGAAGTAGTAGAAGCTTCCAATCTGGTCCTTGACTTGGAAATGATAGGTGAAGTTCTTACCGGGCAAGATGGGGCACATGGTACCGAGGGTGCCATCTTGCCAGGAGTTCTTCCTGTGCTGCACACCATTCCAGGTAAGGAGGAATGGCTCATCAAGATTGTTAAAGACGTTGACAACAATGTTGTTGTTGGAAGTGCAGTTGATTTTAGGACCTGGGAATTGGCCATTGATGAGGATACCTTGCTGGGGAACACCCAATGGGGCAATGGTACCATAGGTGACATTCCATTCAAAGAAATGATAGGGATCCTCAGCATGAACCATTAAAGCCCCAGCTGAGAAGCAGAGGAATAATTCCACGAAGGTCATCCTCCCCATGGCTTGGCTTTACACACTACTGCCCGCAATCAGTTTTTTTCTTTGTTACTAGAATAATCTGCCAAGAAGAAGAGGGAGATGTCTTCTTCCTGCAGAGTTTGAAATGTCTCCATCGTCTTCCCTAAATAGTTACTTTATATATAATGAAGAATGAATTAATTGTGGCCAATTCTTCCATCAATTTCCTTCTTTTTCGCATTTCCTCTCATTTTTATTGAATATCTTTCTTTCCTTTCCTACAATTACTCTCATTTCCTATAGACTCTCCCTGTCTGTCCAACACCTTCGTTTGCAAACCAATTATATCTCATTTACATTATAGGATTATTGATTATATACTAAAATTATCATTTTATTTTTTCCTTTTTACCCTTACACAAAAAAATATAATAATAATTATTATTAGATTCTACAATCCCAAGATATCTATATACATGTTCAATTTTCAATCACAATGTCTATGAATTCTTAGGGTAAATTGTAATTCACCTTTTTTTCTGCAACTACTGACAATTTTCCGGCCCAAATATGATGCATTGAATCATTTGTTTTGTTCTGAAGTACTTTTCCTACGCTATATATACAAGTCTTATCCTCAATAAATTAATGAGTAATATAAATCTTTTTTGCCACCGGGTTTGATCCATCTGAACATACACTAAGAGATTCAACAAAATCATTTCTTCTGCAACTACATCACTCCTTAAATTTTGTTCATATCTCCCTTTTCTAACATGCTCAACTTTGAGAGACGACATGGAAATAAAGATGATATTAGTTTCATTTAGCAATCATAGTTTCATTTAGCAGGCAATAAATGCTGAAGGCTAAAAGCTCAACACTATCTCCTGCAAGCTCCGGTTATCTGGATTACTCTTTCATCTTTGTACTTTTTCATAAATTATGATGACTTCTATTGAGAAATAGATTATACGACACACCCTACTCTTATAGGGCCCTTATGAAGGCTTGTATCCACTGGAACTGAAATTATACCCAAAATAATGTTTCAATGGCCAACAAAAATGTGGACAGGAAGACAAACAGTAGTTCTTATTTCTAGTGATTGATGTGAAGGGGGTAATACAATTTTCCATGGGAGACAATGATATCTATATAGTTGCATAACAAAATAATAGTAATGGTCCAGCACACTAAGCCTGAAAATTGTGGCTGACAGTCTAGCGAACAAAACAATAAAGCAGCACAAAAACATATTTGATGTCCCTCCCTCCAATAAGCAAAAATTATAGGCAGGAAGTAAATAATCATTTATCTGTAGTTATCCTTTACCCCCTTTGCAAAACCAAACATAGACATCAAAAACCATCATCACTTCACGGTCACAATCTTGATGATGGATGCAGTTCCAATTCGGTGCAAGGCTACAACAGCATCCCCCACCTTGCAGAGTCCTTTCGATTTAGCATGTTCAAGTGCGAATTCCAGTGCTTCCTCAGTTGATTCTTCATGAGAAGCCCTTGCAGATCCTGCACACAGGACAGGAACCAACCCCCTGTAAATAAGGCTGTGCCTAGCAGGGTACTCATCACTACAAGACCAATCGAAGGAATCAGTCTTGATTTTGATTTCAGGAACCACAACAGACAATATTGGCATTCCGGGCCGGTACTTAGCCACCAATTTTGCAGTACTTCCACCTCTTGTTAAGACCAAAATAAGAGCAGCTTTTGCTGAGTATGCTGTTCGAACTGCAGAAGATGCTAGGCTCTCTAACGGGCTCATAGGGACTGGTGCATTAGCCATAATCCTTTTGAAGGCATCACCATAGTCAATTGTACTCTCAGCTTCTACACAAATCTTGGACATGGTACGAACTGCAAGTTCTGGATAAGCTCCAGCAGCTGTTTCCCCGCTGAGCATCACACAGTCTGTTCCATCAAGAACAGCATTGGCAACATCTGTGGCTTCTGCTCGAGTTGGTCTTGGAGACTTGATCATGGACTCCAACATCTGTGTTGCAGTGACAACAGGCTTCCCTTGGATATTGCACTTGTATATCATCACCTTCTGAGCTAAAAATATCTTCTCAATAGGAATTTCCATCCCCAGATCACCTCGTGCCACCATGAATGCATCTGAGTTGGCGAGAATGTCATCAAAATTTGCCACCCCTTCTTGATTTTCAACCTAAAAAAAATGGAAGTAATGATGAACAAGAAGATATAAGACTACCTATCCTCAACGAGTGGGGCAGAAAAAAAAATCATGGAAACCCTGAGGTCTCACTTTCATGATCCCCCGAATTAAAAACCAATCAACAAAAACTTATATGATCATATATGGGTAATCTGTATCTAAGAACATCTCAGACAGCTATAATCTTACGTCCTGAATTTTATTTTACAATCAAGTCAAGCATAAACATTAGTACTTTTGTCAAAAAGAAACAATTATTAACATGCATATCTGGCAATACGATCCCCAAACATCCTTGTAAAAAGAACAGGATTGAATTTGTTTAGTTTAATGCTAAAGCAATGGCCACAAACCTTTGACATAAGAAGGATGTTTTTGGCATGTTCACCCAGCAACTTTCGGACCTCCACCAGATCCGAACCTTTGCGAACAAATGAGAGAGCAATCATGTCAATTTTATTAGGAACTCCCCAGTTTAAGATATCTTCCTTGTCTTTATCTGTCAAAGTTGGGAGATCCACGATAACCCCTGGCAGGTTGACATTCTTTCTCTCACCAAGGACTGCAGTATTCTCACAGCGGCACCGAACTAAGCCTTGTTCTTTGTCACAAGATAAAACATTAAATGAGATTGTTCCATCTGCACATAGTATTACACTTCCAGGCTTTACATCCATTGCCAACTTTTTGTAGCTCATGCAGATCATATTCTCATCACCCTTGAAACTATAATCAGTGGAAATTGTGATTTCATGGCCCTGTTTCAGTTGGACGGGTTTTCCTTCTTTCAAGAAGCCTGTTCTGATTTCTGGACCCTGTTTTCTTGCACATGGAGTGAATGTTCAATAAATGTCCATATAACAAGGTTCAAAACAATTCAATCAAAAAAAGCAAAAGACAAATTGTCATTAACCATCATCATTGGCATGTTCCCCAAAAAAAAAAAAAAGGAGACAATCCGCACAACAAGCATTAGGAGAAAACTATTTGCCAAAGGCAACATTACTTAGTAGCTCAGACAGAAATAGCTTTTGCAAAAGATTGAAAGAGCTTGAACATTGATAGACCAAGCAACTGCTGCTTTGATGTATATTATACTATACATAGATGTGGAAGTAAAAAAATGAAAAAAGAAAAGAAAACATTTAGAATTGTAACACAACACAAAATGGCAACAAAGTATCACATATGCATTTCATTCAGTTATAAACAAAGACCATCGGATATCATCATAACACGTGTTTACAGCTTTAAGTACAAAATAGATCAAACTGAGGGTTAATAACTAATAATGAATGGATCGGGCCATATTCCACTGGACCTTAGTGTCGAGCATGACGGCGCAGAGGATACCGGTGTTCTCCATGGCCTTGCGGAGATTGTTTAGGGTCTCCTGGTGATAATCATGGGATCCGTGAGAGAAATTGAATCGGGCTACATTCATCCCAGCACGAAGGAGCTTTTCGACCATGGGCACGGACCGGGACGCTGGCCCCAAAGTGCATACGATCTTGGTCTTCGACCTCCTCTCTCCGATCACTTTTCCGTTAATCTCCATAGTATATTCGGTAAATCGATTGATTGATAAATTTGTGTTGAAATCAAAAAGTGGAAGAAGAAAATGAACAGTTTTACACTTTGGGAGAGAAATTCTAGTGTTTTAGTCTGCTTGGTTGGCAAACTATGTGCTCTGCTAAATTAATTAATTATTAATAACAATGGGCATGCCTTCATGCGCCGGCCGCTAGGTTTGGCAAATGTGTTCGCACCTCAATAATTCTTCGTCAATCGTTTACCGCGTTATTTGTTAGGGTTAATTACAAACTTTACCAATCTAATCACTTAGGTCCTTATTCTTATTTTCTTGGTATATGCGGTCTAAATTTCTGATTTCAGTCGAAGTCCATCCTCTAACAACAGACTTGTCTAAATCCCCATTGTTTCAAAACTCATTTTTAATAACACATTTTTCCATAAAATAATATTACGCGTAAAATGAAAACTTCTACTTATTTTTTAACCACACATTCTTTATCACTATTTCAAAACAAGTTCACAAAACCCGCGAGAATGGGAGGTTGCCACCCTAGTACCTAGGTCTGACCTCTAGATAGTAGATTGATGGTTTGAAATTTTAGACGTCTGATGTAGAGACATCACATCAATCAACCGTGAGACGATCTTGTACGGAACATCTCTTGAAGGAAAATGTGAAGTGGGAGGTGCATTTCATCTCCTTTTACTGCCGTATGTGAGACACCCCACCTGAGCCACGAGGTCAGCATCTATCTGCACCTCAGCGGAAGTGATGCTTCACCTAGCTACCGTACATATGACCCCACCTCGACAAGGTAGGAGGATATTGTGGAGTGTGGATCTTGGTGGCTTTGTAGCTAGTATCAAGTGGAATTGATCTGGAGCCTCGTCAGGAAATGCATAACAATAGTCTCCCAAGTCCATGTATGAATATTTATATAATGTGTGCACTTCAGTGTAGGGGGGAAGTGAATTCGTTGTAGAGGCGATGCATTGGTGTGAAGCATGTTACCTGTCTTTGGCAAGGTGATTTGAACACAAGAAGATTCTTACAACAACTCGGCTCATCTATGTTTGAAATTTCATTTTTCAAACCACATCTTATCTTGACCTGTATAATTTAATAAGTATATCTCAACAAATAAATACACCATGTTTTCGTTACAAATGGAATATCCTTCGCTATTTTACTTAAAATAAAACGAAATGATCTTGTTTTGATTAGGGGTGGGCAATGGGTCGGGTCGGGAAAAAGCCCAAAACTGAGTATTCCGGTTTGGGTTGATTTCGTTACACAAGAAGACTTATCCAATTTTTTTTTAAGCACTAAATTTATTGGAGACTTCCCAATCCAATAATTGGCTTAAATATAAACAATACTTTTGACATCTCAATAAAAAAATTTCAATGAAATAAGTCATTCATACAACACAATCGACTAAAATAGAATAAATCACAAATTTTTACTAAAAATAAGTCTATAATTTGAATTTTTTCACAAACAAAAAATTAAAATTTACATCCCAAATAATTATTTTCATGCACATTAATATCATACTACTAAAACCAAACACACTTAAAATTATCATTAAGCACGAAAAATAAATACTAAAATATTACAGTCAACCAATATTTAAAAATATACAGTAATCCAAATTTAATAAATAAACAAAAAGAAAAATATTACTTATCCAAAATTCAAACCTCTAAAAAATTAAATAATAAAATAGAGTATTATAATCTTCAATTCTCGTATAGTTTTAAGTAGCATCCTACAAAATAATATAATGACAAAGCTAGTTGTGCACATTGAATACATTGTACATCTACCTAAAAAAATCATAAATGCACGAATCACTTGAATTTAGCCTTCATTTGATTTTTCTAATTCCAAAAGCTCTACAAAAAAAATTGATTAAATTAATAATAAATTAAATAAAACACTTTATTTAACATAATCCATGGAATAACTATAATTATATTACCTTCGTCCAATTTTTTATATACGTCAACATCTTCCATATAAAATCTCTCCATTATTGAAAACTCTTTAAGCCAATTTTGGGTACACACCAAAACCTCCACCATCTTAGGGGTTAAAAGAACTACGAAATGGATCAAGAATTCCTCCTCCAGTACTAAAATCACTTTCTGAAGCCATTATAGACACTTGAATTGCCATGACGTCTCTTGTGAGTTTGGATAAAGTACCGTATTTATTTACATTAACCCGCCATCAGTTAAGAACATCAAAATCACTATCTTCTATATCTTCACAAGCATCCAACAAGTATCTATCAACATCATTTTTAAGTCCAACAAAATCTTTTGCTGCATTTTTTTTTCTTAAACCTAGAAAAACGATTAAGAAAGCCTGTTGAAGTAGGACTTTCTTTAATAGAAGAAACCACACTTGAATAATTCATATCACTATATACTTGATTGTTTTTAGAGTTTGCTTCACATCTCACATACCAATCGTAAATAGACATCATATTATCTTTTAGAATATTTGTCATATTACGAACGACTTCCTTATCCTCATAAATATCACCAAAACAAAAATAAGCGTACTCCAATTTTTATCTTGGGTAAAGTACAATAGCAATCAACAACAACTAGTTAACATTTTCCATTTTTCCCCAATACTTGTCAAATTTTTTCTTCATGTTAATGGTCATATCACTCAAAAGATAATCACCACTTTTACACCATTCTTCCAATTCGCTTATAAGTGAACATACTTCATGAAGATAAACATTAGAGATCACATGCAATGAAGTACTAAAATTCAAAGTTACTTCATAAAAGCCTTGGAGAAACTTCACAAAAATAGAAGCATTTTCCGAAGTTCTAGGAGGTCTACCCCTTCTTCTACCACCATCATATTCCTGAATATAATTAAAATATTGCACATCATCTTCCTCTAACCTTTCAAATGCTTTTTGGAATTTTAAAGCGGCTTCCAACATCAAATATATGGAATTCCACCTAGTTGGTATATCAAAAAATACAAGTGATTTACAATCAATTTTTTCTTGATTCGCACACTCTTAACATATTTTACTGCATTACGAATACTAATAATTTATGCATGTGCTTCCTTCAATCCCTCACATACAATCAAGTTAACAATATGTGCACAACACCTCATGTGCAAATATTTTCCATGCAAAACACACACATCACTACTCCTACCAATCATCTTCCTCTTGAGATAAGAAATGGCCGTTTCATTTGCAGATGCATTGTCAACCGTGATTGTAAACATTTTCTCAATACCCCATAAACGCAAACAATTCTCAATAGCTTTACCAATGGTTACACCTTTATGATTAGCAATCACACAAAAGTTCAAAATCTGTTTATGAAGCTTCCAATCAGAATCAACAAAGTGTGTAGTAAGAGACATATAGTTAATGTTTTGAATAGAACTCCAACTATCAATAGTAAGAGAAACTCTTTGACTTTGAAAGATCTTTCTCAATTGCAATTTTTTATCCAAATATAATTGATAAATATCTCTAACAATAGTCCTACGAGAAGGAGATCAAAATTCGGACATGCTACTTGACAAAATTGTCTAAACCCCTGACCTTTGACAAAGCTAAAAGGTAGCTCATCAATTATTATCATCTTAGCACATGCAAGTCTACATGCTTATTTATTAAAGCCAGCAGCTATAAAATTGTTCCCATCACCCTCAGTTGGACTTTTTTGCCTTTTATCTTCTATCCTTCCCGGATACTTTTTACAATGAATAACTAAATGATTCTTTAAGGTATTAGTCCTACACTTCCTAGCCCCACAATCATAATCCTGCCCACAATAGTTGCACGTACACCTAACATCTTCATCTTTTGGATCCCCTATAATAGTGAAGTGCTCACATACATCTGAAGATTTCCTATTTTTCCTCTTCCCTAAACATGATTGTGGAAGTGGAGGAAGAGACGCATCACTTTTTTCTAAATTTGTTGTTGAAGGAGTTTCATTGATAGCTTCAATTTCACTATTCATATCCACATTCATATCTAACAGTAAATAAGAATTTAGAACACCCGTCAATATGAAGAGAATAGCTCATGACGCATACCTAACATAGTTATCATTTGTTGTACTTTTTCATAAATTCTTCCTCTTTGCATTTTCTTATTTCCTGGGGTAGGTTATGAAGTCAAGTAAATTTATAAACTACTTCCTCTCATGTATCCAGTTCTAGCAGCTCTACAAATACTTATTATCAATCAGTTAGAGCAAAGCATAAAAAAAGCTAAATAACAAAATACTACTGTAAATATCTCACAAACAACATTTTGTAATTGAAATCTAATTGAATCTAGCAAAGATTACACCTATGACTCTTCCAAAATCAGAAAAAGCAATTCAAAAACTGAAGATGGGCAAAGATAATCAATTTCATCTATGGCAGTAAAAATCATGTTTTTTCTTTCCTCTACAGTTATCGAGAACTCGTCAAATCTGGACTGCATCTTCTCAAATTGATGCTGAAATCTCAAGGTAATATCACAGAATTGATTATGTTCTTCGATTAGTTTTAACCTACTCAAAAATTTTCAAATTTCTCATATGCTATTAAAGAAAAAGATGTACAAAAACTCGGGAAGAATGAGTAGACAAAAGGTTGTTAAAGCATGAGTACCTCATAATCCAAAGGAGTTCATTCGCAACATTGTAGGTTGATTTCTCATCATTGTCTGGAAGAATCGCCGAAGAGGAGATCTCAATGGAGGAAGGTAGGTTTTGAAGACACGAAAACACGGTTTGGAAATAGGGTTGATAATGGGTTGGGTCGGTTTGAAAAAGGTTTAAACCTTGATCCGACCCGACCCGACCGAACTCGTTTTTCAATCAAAATTGACCCAACCCGGGTTGGGTCGAATCTGCGGTTTCGGGTTTTTGGGCCCAGCCCTGGTTTTGATCCTTAGTTGAAAAGAGATGTCTTGAGCTATCAGAGAAACACTCTGATAAATAGATTTGATATTGACCGATTCAATTAAGGTATTAATGTTTGCTCTATTAGACATAATTTTTTCCCCTTCGTTCAAATAAGCGTTGTACCCGTATCTCTTACCAGCATCTCTATTCCCTTTATCAATTCTCCTAGGTCCATGAATTTATAAATGAAAATGCGAAGCAACATCACCTACAACAAATTTTGGAAATTGATACTCGTATTTATAGAAATAGTAATTAAAACCGGACATGCCGGTCCAACCAGAAATTTGGTGAACCGGACAACATGGTCAGTTACTCTACTTGGACCAGTTCGAAATCAAACCGCTAAAATGGCAGCCTCATAAAATTGATAATCGTGCTGGAAAATCTGTCAGAAAAAATGAATGATAAACATGCAAAAGACGACTGGACTCCTCTGTGGCTCCCTGCAAGCCGGTTCCTATGTATCTGGGAATTGATTTCATGTCGAATGAGTGATACACTACCATCACCCCTGCCAAAAAAGATGACTAGTGTAGAGCAAGAGAACCAAGAGAATTAATCTATAGTAAACCAAAGGAGATGGTGAATCAAAGTCCACACAATTAGTCCTCACAATGGCTGTCAGTAGGTGCCTTTGGGAGATTTTCTTCGTATAAACACCTTGAGATCAACGAGTGTGGTCACTAGTTTGAGTCCTCTCAGGGCCATTGAGGTGAATATCCGACCGTAAACTTTAGATCCCCGTGGGATTAGTCGAGGTGGCACAAGCTGGCCCCGACATCCACGGTTATCAAAAAAAAAAAAAGAATATTTTATAAAGTAAAATAGATGCCATTAACTAAAATGCATTTCCATACATCATGAAGCTATTTAAAAGAATAAAATGGAATGTAAAGTAGCAAAAAGGTTATACTGCTCCATAATCAGAAATAACAGATGTAGTTTATTAACACATCGAAAAATCAAAAAGAGACGGAAGCAGCACTGGACTTTTGTTTCTCATGTATGTAAAGATAAATCAATGTTTATTTAACATATCGAAAGAATCAAAAGGAGATGGAAGTAGCACAGGACTTGTGTTTCTCGTGTATGAAAAGATAAATTAACCTTTCTTTTGCAAGAGCATATAGTTGATAAATGATGAAATCAAGAAAGCAGCCTCTTTTCGTCCTGATGGCAACGTGCAAAAACCCCGTTATTTCTAGGAGTCATCCTAATGTGAACAATACTTAAAACACATTAATATGCATGGCATCAGAATTCCAATCTCTTTATATCAGTAAAAACCTGACAACCCAATAAATTGTTGACGTTCCACAGGTAACTAGAGAAATAACTACTGGAAATCTTTCCAGGATTCCTTGTGAATAAATCTTCTATGCTGGCAGATAATTCTACATAACATATTTAGCAAAGCATAAAGATATAATACAATAAACAACTCAAATTGGAGATTCTCATTATTCAATAAGGAGGAGCCAAGTGTAGAATGATTGGAACAAAAACAACCAGCTTTCCTTGTGATATAGAAGTAGCCATGCAAAGTACTAAAGGGCATCCTATGATTATGAGGAGTAAACCTGTAAGAAATTCATATGCAAATATTAGAGGACAAGTCTATCGGTCGCCTTTGTAGCTCATAGCTGGGAACTACTCAGGGCTTTGGAGCTCGATGGCTTGGAGAAACAGCCTCACCAGTTTCTGATCCTCACACGACACCATGAGATATCTCCTCTCTGCCATGACAGAGAGTTCCATCTAAAGGTGAGATAATTAACATTGCAATACCATATACAACTGCTTGATCAATATTGCTGTCACTGCTCCCTACCTTGTAGATCTTCATATCTTCTCATAGTGTTTATGTCATATGCATGACGAAAAAGAAAATTAGTAGAAAGGTCCTCAAAATATCTTATACAGAGTTCAACCATCAGATATAGACAGATGTTTATATGAATTAAAGTGCTTGATGATAGAAATAAATAACTATCATTGTTAAAAAATAAGGTCATCCCATATGTGAATGCAAGATAACATGGAATATCAAATTTGTTTATTACTAGAGCCGTGAAACACATCACTTATTGTATAAAGTCAGCAAAACTAGTCTGAACATGATTGATGTATCTCATACTAAATTATTCTTGCCTAATCTAAGCTAAAGAAAACGAAATGACAAGCCTGTTTACTTTTTTATTCTTCGTATTTTCTTAGGCCCCCAAACCTCCAATCTGCCAGCAGGGCATCCACACGGTGCTCGAAATATCAACACGGTCCTTCCATTGAGTGGCGCCATCCTCTTCAACTCGGCCTCTAGTTCCTTCCGATCCTGTCCCAATTCCAGCTGCTTCACCCCTTTATCAGTGTCACAAGCATCAGTGACAGGCAAGTACTTGACACATTCCTCTGATTCCAACTGAATATCGTATTCAACTGCTCTTCGTAACCCCTTGCAATGTGGATTCCCACATTTCCTCGACCTCATATCAATAATTTCCCAAACAACACCGATGAATATGACTCCAAGCAGCACAAATATCAAGCCCAGGAAATATGCCACAGGTGCATTCTCTATTGCGTCAATAATTAGATCAAAAAGTATGGGCAGACAGTCGTAAAAGACCAGTTTAAAGCAGGGAACAATCAAGAATCCCAAGGATCCGATTGCTATTAGAAGCATAATCACTTCCAGGACAGCGAATGGAGAGCGACTGCAAAATTGATGGGAGAAAGGGTTTAGGGAACTACTAAAATCATGGTGATGCCTTTTTGTGCGAGAAACGCTCAGTGAATTGGAATTGAAGCTGCTCTTGTGCTGCTCAAAAGCTCTGCAAAACTCGATCAAGTTCCGGCAATCAACCATCGGAAGCCTCATCTTGATTTGGGTTTTTTTTCCCCCGAGACTGGCCGAGCTAATAAAGATCGGCAGGCAAGCAAAACTAGATTGCAATAATCTGGAAATAATAGAATGGAAGAAAAATCTGATTTAGTGAATCAGATGTGCAAAATGGGTGAATCGAATTGAGTTGACGGTTGCTAACCTATATGTATTACCTAACACGATAGTCAAATACGGACTCGCAAGATAAGAAAGACCGAGAGGGATTTTGAGAATTAACGCTCCGGATTTATTTATTTTTTAATTAGTGCGAGATAATGTCCCTGTTTGGTTGGTGCAGATTTTTTAATTCATTTATCTTCAAAGTTAATTTTACTTATATATTTTTAAGATTGTATTTGGTGCATATTTTTTAGGAGAGAATGCATTTTTTTGATGTGATATGATGGAGAATATGTGGTTAAAAAAGAAGAAAAAATTATTGAAATGACAAAAATATTATTTTATTGAAGAATGTGTAGTTGAAAATGAGTAAAAGAACGAAAATGAAAATGAGTAGAAGAACGAAAATGAAAATGAGAATATAACCTAAACAGGGGCTAAATAAAATAATTTAACTCAATGACTTTAAATAAAGGATTAATAGCAGAAAATTCCCTAAAAACGTTTTCAATTGCGATATATTTCCTACCTATTGAAAATCGCAAAAAAAAATCGTTATGTTTGAAACTTTTGTGCAAAAAACCCCACATGGCCTCTGCCGTCAAGATCCGTCAAATTTTTTGTTAAAACAGTAAAAAAAAATACCAAAATTAAAAAGAAATAATTGTAATTTCAATACCCGAACTTTTTCTTTTACAAATTAAATCCATTTTTTTATATATATATACCTCCTAGCGAGAGAAAGTTTCACTTGAGTGCCTTTGATTTCTAGAGATTCTTCTTGTGTTTGGTTCGATTTGTACTTTTTCTTGGTGGAATGGATTTTCAACAGTTTGGATAGTGGTTTCATCCATATTGAGGTGCAAATTCGTTCAAATTCAGAGCTTGCTTAGTTCAATTGTTGTTTCAGTTAAGTTTTTGTTCGGCCGGAAGGTTCTGTGTTCTTGTTCATGGGTTATCTTTGTGGTCGAGTTAAAGGTTGTGTTGGCCAGATTTGAGTTCCATCTTTGGAACTTAAACTCGCCTAGCGTCTTCTTTTTTCCAGACAGCTTTAGGTTCAGTTCAGCCAGTTTCAAAGGCAACGTGGTGATTTTGGAGTTGTTTGAAACGAGACTATTCAGTTTCTGCTCTTCATTTCTATTCAGCTCTGTTTCAGCCAATTAGTTTCTAGGGGCAGCTTTACCCCAATTTCAGTTTGGCGCTAGTTTTTGGTATGTTTTGCTCTATTTTTAGTAGTTGGTTTTGGCTTTGTTCTGACAGGTTCTTTAAGCAGGGTCAGTTTCAGTTGCCAATTTCTGATTTTAGCTTGGTTATTATTTCGTCTTGATCAGTTCTGCAGCTTGGTTGTAGTGGTTTTAGCTCATATTCATAAAGGTTATAAGTATTGTATATGTATATGATGCTACCAAAAATCGTACATGTCGACTTCCGAACTTAACGACTGAGAATGAGCACGAACGAGGTCTTCGAGGTGTGTTCTCGTCGCCCCTTAGATGCTTAAGTCAGAGAGAATTTATGAAAGTAGTTTATGCTGTAAATTGTGTGAAAAACATACCTTGATAATGGATGAGAATGATGTATTTATAGGGGTAGGTGGTGGAGTCTTAGTAGGACTACAATGTCGTGATACCTGGGAGTCCTAGTGCAATTGGAAGTTGTAATGTAGTTGGTTTCGTACTATCCACGTGTTTGGATGGATATGTGAACAGTGTTAGAGTCCTCTTAGAATAGGGTGGCATATTCTCAAAAGGACTATACTTCTTAACCTGATCCCGAGGAGTATGTGCCCGAGGAGATCAAGCTTGTTTTGGCTTAGACGTGACATGAACTCCTTGGGAACTCTAGCTCGGGCTTTCTCAAGGATTGGTATCATCAGTGGCCCCCGTGCATCCATGCCGGAGATCTGTCTTCGAGATTCTGGGGTGGATGCATATGGCAGGGATGTTCAGAATTTGGGAATGGGCTGTACAGCCATGGGAGTGGGCTGCTCATCCTCTGAACCTGGGCTGTGCAGTCATGCCAATGGGTTGCTCAGCCTCCTAAAATAGACTGAGCATCCATGAAAGGGGGGCTGCTCAGCCTTTGAAATTAGGCTATGCAGCTATGCAAATGGGTTGTTCAGCCTCTTAATGTGGACTGAACAGCCATGAAGGTGGGCTGCTCAGCTTTTTAAACTCGACTGAGCATCCATGAAGGTGGGATGCTCAGCCTTTTGATGTGGACTGAACAGCAATGAAGGAGGGCTGCTCAGCCTTTGAACTTGGGCTGTGCAGCCATGCAAATGGGCTGCTCGGCCTTTGATCATGGGCTGTGCAGCCATACAAATGGGTTGCTCAGGCTCTTCATGTGGACTGAACAGCCATGAAAGAGGGTTGCTCAGCATTTGAATTTTTAGCGTGCAGTCTACGGTTTGTGTATGTATGACGCGTGGTCTTGATGTTCGAGTCTGGCATGGTGGATGGATGCCACGTGGCATGATGGAGGGCCAGGATGCAGAGACCTTTGATCTTCCTCAAAGTCCTATAAATACCCCAATTTCCCCCTTCATTTTGCACCTTTCACTTCTCTAACTCTCCTTAGACCACTTCGGGTTTAGGCCTAAGGTAAGACCTCGTCCCCTGTAGATAATTTAAGTTTTTATTTCCTGAAAATGTCTGGTAGCATTAGTTCATCGGGGTCGGGCTCAACGCCTGAGGATGCTGGGCATTCTATAGTTCCTTTAGCAATTCCTTTAGACAACAGGCCTGTGCTTAGTTATCCCAACCTTAGATGCCGGTATAAAGAGCACGAGGTGATAGCCATAGCTAGGGAGTTTGGGCTCATACCGGGGTGTGATATTAGAACTCCTGGGCCCGAGGACAGTGTAGTTAGTGTTCGGGATGGGGAGTTGGTGGTTTTCAGGGATTCATTGAAGGTCGGGTTCAGATGGCCTCTTCATCCTTTCTTTATAGAGTTCTTGGTCGAGCACTTCATGTGTCCAGGACAGCTCGTCCCCAACGCATGGAGGATGATCATGTACTTTTTCATAGCTTGTCGGTTCCCTTCTATCAAACCCATGCTCGACTTCCTTAGGATGGTGTTCGAGTTGAAATCATTACCGAGCTATAATTGCTTCGTCTACGTGCCGACCCGGGGTAGGTTTAAAATTCCTAAAATGCCGAGCTCTCTCAAAGGGTGGAAACAAAGATATTTTTTTATTCAACCTCAAAACCCCGATCATCTGTTTGGTCCTCTGTGGACTGTCCCGAACACCCCTCGATTTAATGAGGGGTGGGCCTATTTTGAAATTTTTGAAAGAGATAGGCAGAGTTTGGAAGACCTCAAGCCCCTATGTTATGATCTTGATGACATGCTCGGGGATGACATCCTCGACCTCGCGAATGTGAAAGGTTTGGAGGGTAAGGTCAAAAATGCCTCGATCTTTATTCAATTATTGTATCTCGATCAGTCCTCGGGCTAATGCCTTGTTCGTTTTTCTTTTTTCAGACAATATAACCTTCGATCCTCAGGCTCTTCGACTAGCAGCAAGCCAGAAATCAAGAGATCTTCAATCTCGGGCTCCCGGGCAATAGAAGGGAAAGAAAAGACCCCAAGCACCCGAGGCCAAGAGTGGGCCTGGGGAGTCTTCTCACCAACAGCCTGGAGCTCCAATTGTCAAGCCTACCCCTTGCACTCCGATAACCGTGGCCAAGCCACCGGCCGTGGTTGTCGACCTCGACGATGAGGCTGTTGGGGATATGCCTCGAGGTGAGGAGGAGAGCTTCAGGCTTCTACCCGACATCGTGGAAAAGTTCGAAGGCTCGGACCTCGGCGACGGGATGAAGACACTTCAGTCTTTGGCATTGAAGGTAAATATTGTAATAATGCTCGATCTTTAGTCTTTAGTTTCGATAGCTTTTGAAGATCCTCGTGCTGGCAGGTTATGAGCGTGGCTCGAGGTATGTCTCTGAAGGATGAGGACGGGCTCAAGGAGATTGTTGAAATCAAAAGAGATCTCGAGGTCCGAACTCGCAGAGTTGTAGAGCTGGTGGTTGATCATGGGCAGAACATGAAAAGGATTGCTGAGCTCGAGGAAGGGTTGCGTCGAGCTAGGGAAGAAGTTGGTGTGGCCAAGGATGAAGCAGATGAGGCCAAACTCGAACTTGAGCACGCTACAGGGGAGTTTGAATCAAAGCTTTCTAGCGCTCTAGTATCTGCTGTCGAGGACTTCAAAAAGTCCGACGAACTTAGTGCAATAAAGGGAGAGTATGCTATGGGCTCCTACAACTATGCTTTCAAGCAAGCCCGAGCTTATATCAAGGCCAAATTCCCCGATACCAGTTTTGATCAGTTGAAAGCCGTGCCCGAAGTTACTGACAATCTCGAGCTCTCAACATCCGAAGAGACAATGATCGAAGAAGAAGCTGACACCGGGGATGAGGATACAGTTGACATGCCATCTAGCCAAGAATAGCATAGGACTTCTCCCCTCTCCGATCAATTATTTTTGAACATTGTAATTTTTTAATATTGCCCGATCTGGGTCTCACTTTTTGGTTTTTCAAGTACATTGCCCGACCTTGGCCTTATGGTTTTTGCGTAAGTGTTCCTCGAACCTACTAATGATGGACTTCCAAATGAATGACCTCAACTTGGGTTCTGAAATTGTGGCCATAGGCTTCGCCTCAGCCCATTTGGTGAAATATTCCACGGCTACGGCAACGAACTTTAATTTCCCTGAGCTAGGGGAAAAGACCGAGGATATCCATGTCCCATTATTCAAATAGGGACGAGCAATGAATGGTGGTTAGGTCCTCGGCCGGAGAATGGATGACATTGCCGAACCTCTGACATTTGTTACATTTCTTTACATAATATGTAGC